AAAAAAAAAAAAAACTGGAGGACACAGTTGTTGAAACAACAGCATCATGCAAATTTCCTTCTAAGAGGAGTCACAGCTTAATTGACACGGGGTTCAGGCTTAGAGTTTAGGGTCTACAGTTGGGGCCTTGGCATGCAGATCATGTGGTGATGTGCTCGGCGGTATCTTTCCGATGTGGTTCATGAAAGAAGGAGTCTGCAAGCACTGTTGCCAGTCAGATAAACAACACTAAAACTGTTTTTGGATATGGTTATTCCTGTTCAACTTGTTCCTAACCTCCATTCAAAGCATAATTGACACAAGTGCTGGCCAGCTCCCACATCAGTGGTGCATTGGCATGTGGAGCTTCATGCACCAGAAGATAACATGCAATCCATGGGGCCTATCTCAGGATTCTCGAGTCCAGGCATAAGAGTGTAACACACAGTTCCTGTCTCAAGCAGCACTCTGAGATACACCCAAGTGTGCTCCGTGCGAAGCCACCTTTAGTAGAAAATTGCCGTATTGGTGCTGTATCTTCACAAGCTCTCGCCGCAACAGCAGCCATGAATGCCTCAAGCTCCATAGGTCAACTTGCAGCGAGACCAGGTGAACTATGTACAACCCGACATCGAAAGATCATATCAGAGATTGGGCTCGCGTTAGCCAAGGCCTCCAACCCAGCAAACAGCAAAACTTACTCAGGGCTTAGGACTTTTGGGATTTAGAGTTCAGGTACAACCGGAGGACATGCACGAATACAGCCCACTCTACTAGGTCGGAGGACTTGGCTGATCCGAGGCCCAACCCCTAATCGTGAAGTCCCTTCGAGATCTTCTTGGCCAGGGCGTCATAGCGGGTTCTCGCCAGGATGAGGCTGAACCTTGGGATTTTGCAAACCCCTCAACCAGTCTCTTGGGGCACAGAGCTTAATGGGCCTGAATAATTGGAATAAGGTTTTGAGGTATATTATAAACCCCTCTTCTCTGCTGGGAGGACACACCAAGAAGCAATAATCATTACTAGCTAGTTACTAGTTACTAGTTCCTTTCAAAGTAACTATGGCATCAGGATCGTCAAAGTGTTCAAACTGCTGAGAACATACACTCCTGATCGGCCCTTGGAGAAGTGCAGAGGTTCTGGTTTGCATTGGAGCAGACGACTCGTTCGTGCAAGACCCAGTAACTCAGACATCCAATGCATGTCAGGGTTGGGAAATTCTGCGGGCCTGGTAGCCGTTGCTCAGGCTCCTGCTCGGGAATCCATCCAGAACTCGAGAAATACGCTCTGAGACCATGACGGTTTCGAAGTAGTTCGGGTCTATAGGCGCAAACGAGAAAAGACAGACAGCTACTATTCAGCAGCTCAGGCACACAAATACGGCAACGGAAGTGCCAATGCCGAACGCATACCTCGAAAGAGCGGGAGAATTCGCTGCAAGTTTGAAACTTCGGAAACTCTTCTAGGATGTTGGACCCATCACCCGGACAACTACTCTTCGGCCTGACCCTCTCCTTACCTTAAGCTGCCTGTCTGGGATGCAGCAGGTTTGCCGTAGGGAAGTAACTTATAATTTGCCTGTCGGCAGTTCTAGAATTTACGGGTTTCTGGTCTCCCTAAACTCAACCCCAAACCCTACGCTAGGTATTTATGCTTGTTGTCTAAGGGGACTCACCTGGGAAGGCACAGAAATAGACATCTCTTGATAGGCGTAAAAATGCGGATGTACGGCTTCAATTTCGAGCTTGGGACAGGGTTTGGGGTTTACGGCTTCGGGAGCCAGCGACAAGGTCTCTCCATGGTTGAAAGGCCACGCAGGAAAAAGGCCGTCCTGAATTTTGCACGGACACATACCTCCGCAAGGGCATAGATTAAACGACTCCCAAAGTGCCAAGTAGCTGTCCCCGCACTCCTCTGTTCTGCGATCTAGTCAGGATGATGCTTCGAGCAAAGTAGGCGCAAGAAGCCCTACACCCTGAACCTCGAAGCCCTTTGAAGTGTAAAACAGCCCTCTTGCGTTTGCTTCTTGAAAGCTGTCGAGCCTCCAGAATTTAATTTCTTGGGTTGAAAGCTTCAAATGCCTGAATGGCTTCGTGTCATGGGCCATATCTGTGGAAACATCTGATTCAGGGACTGGGACTTGTATGATCGCCCAATCATATGTACATATTTCATATGCATTGTTCTATGCACAAAAAGGGAGAAAGGTACACGCAGAAGGGAAGCATGCATCTTGTTTTGTTGGGCTGCTGCTGGTGGTCGAGGGGCTTTGGGCTGCTTACAGTTTACAGTGTTGAAACGAAGAAACGAAGGCAATCATAGGTGAAATTTCATCCTTCATGCTCATGGCTGATGTGGCTGGAAATCCCTGCCCTGAAGCCATCTTGCACCAAGGCGCCAGACACCACGGACACCATAACCAAATTTGAACGCGAGGGCATATCCAGTGGGAAGCATCAGGCCATAGTAGCTCAACAGGTAAACCACCTGAGATAGGGCGAAGGGCACCATGCCTTCCCCCTACATTATACATTTCGAAGCATGTGCACACTGCCGGAACCCTTAACACAATATGGGGGCCGAAAAATTAGAATACATCTTGGGTGATTATATATATATATATACTATAGGTATAGAACAGGTGAGAAACCCCAAAATAGTGTTGGTAATTACTTGGGCGCCTATATTACATGTTACGTTTCGAAAGGGGAAAGGGCGTGGCACCCGCACGAGCAAGAGAGGAAAAAAGGAACGAAGCAAGAGCCCTCGGTCGACACAGGAGACAACCCACAAGTGGTCCCCTGCGTGCGATGAAGGCTTCTTGTTGTCGCGACTGTAAACAAGCAGTTTGAGGCAGTCAGCATGGCATCCCCTCACAGCCCCTGTGCAGTTCATAGTCTAAGTATACCCCTCAAACCCCTTTTTCTGACTACTAAAGCCCTACGTTGCCCAGCCGTTTTCCGAGAGCAAAGAAGGCCAAGGGGCGCTTCCCGCTGCCATCTTCCCCATGCCGCGAAGCGCTCCGGACATGATGTGCTGCGTGGTGTCAGGGAAGCCAGCCTGGATCCCCAAGGCATCCGAGCAAATGTAGGGGTCTTGCGAATCGGAGTAGGATTTTGGGTTGGGATACAATCTTATCTTGCCATGTTATATGTAAACCTAAGGAACAGATCAGGCCTCTATAGCACGCAGGAGAAGTGGACTTTCTAAGTTACGTTGATAATTCGCGATCTTCGGGGACAAGGTTCAGGCCTCATGGGTTGCCAGGTGAAACTGGGATCGGCTGGCTGCTACCACTCTCTGATCACCCCTAAGTTTAAATTCGTATATTCTACTCTTTATTTCATACATTATTCTATCATCTGTTGTGCTATGCCGTATTAAACGATGGGATACTGTTCTTATATCATATTCAAATTGTATCAAACGAACGCAGTAACTTCAACAGGCGTACATGGCAGGGCGTAGCAAGCGAAAGTACCCCTTTGTCCCAGTCCCAAGCCCTTACAGACCTGAAACCCGAAATTGACAAAGTGAGACCAAGAGAACAAGAAATTCAAAGCCCCAAATGACTCATGACAAGGGACAAAGGCGAAGATTACCAGCAGGCTCTGCACCAGCACAGACACCTGGAAACCCAGAGCGGTTTGGGCTTAGGGTTCAGGGTTTATAGTGTAAGGAAGATTAGGATTTAGGGTTCAGACCCTCTGCCGCCCTGCCATGACATCGGTGACGATTGAGGTGAAGGCAACCGACTCAGGACGCTACCATTGTTCGTGCTTTTCGGTCTCTGCCAAATGCAGCCTGTGTGGAACGTCAGTAAGACACAAGCATAGCGGCCATTGAACATGATCATGCTTGACCAATGCGAACACATTGCTGTTGCAGTTTGGTCCGCGAACACCATGAAGCGCTTTACAATAGGAGCTGAGAAGAAATAATACCATCTCTGCCATCATGACATATTGGGCAAGATCAGACCATGAATAGCGTGCAGCAAGATCCCTCCTCCTCCCGGTTATCACTTACCGTAATGCCACAACCTCCTGTCTTTGCTGGCCTTATGCTTCCGCCCAGTATCTATTCCCACCAGAACAATGACTCGCTTATCTATGGTTGCAGCGTATGTCATCATTGTTCCTGCTACTGTATCGCTGTGATCGCGATGTTCGTGGCCATGCACCTTAGCACGGATTCAGTAGCTGATGTTGCGATTTCTCAACGATTAGCCCAAGCTGTGTACTAGCTGCTGAAGCACCTCTCCCGGCCGCACGTACATCGATGCGACAGCGTGGCGCCCGAACCTCTGCTTCAGGTCTTGGAGAGTACGTAGGGGAGGACCGAAACAAGACTATTGGAACGGGACGCCGTCGCCTCATCATCATGCCTCACCGCCGCTTCCTGTTGCATCTCTTCACCGGCCCGTACTCAACTCGTCGAAGTCAGTCATCATACATATGTAGTCGTCACCATCATCAGGAGCATCATCATGACGAGCACTGTCCAACATCGGCCAGTAAAGCAATCCGAGTCCGAACATCGTCACCATCACGGTCATCATCAGCAGCATCATCATCGTCGTCATCCGCATCACCTGCATCTTTCTCATCATGGCCTTTGCCAGTGCCTCCTGTGCCGGCAAGCCTGGGCCTGGAGACCACAGCCTGCCAGATGCAGCTGAGTTGCAACACCCCTATGCCGATCGTAAGCCAAACGAGGAAGTTGCAGAAAATGCAGACCTTGACGTAGCGTCGAGCGTCCGTCGGCCTGCAGGAGCAGGCAGGCTATTCAAAAAGCCTACTCCAGAATCTGCCCTGAGACCCTGAAGGGTTTAGACTTGAGGGTTCTGAGAACCCTGAAACTGCTCTAAATCCCAGAACCCAAACTACTCCACAATTTGCCCGACGACCAAACCGATGCGTGTCGAGCCCTGCTCCACCTGTACTTCACGGACATTTGCCCAGTGCTTCGATTGCCCTGTCTCAAATTCGAAGACTCCTACCCTAAACCCTAAACCCTAAACCCTCTCTGGGAAGCGTTTGCCCTAAACCCCGAACCCCTGAAACTATGGAACAGGGTTCAGGTTCAAGTCTTGGGGGCGGGAGGCTCGAGGTGTATGCGTTGACCGGGTTGATATGGTCTAATCGAATGTACCGTAGTATAGTAGAAACTCTACTGTCAGTGTACGAAATACAGTTTATAGTACAATTCTACAGAAGACCATAAGGTATGACATTCCTAAGCCCTAAACCCCGAATTCCGAAACACCAAAACACTATATAGTATCTTATCCCAAAGCTGAGCCAGAGATGAGAAGGGCAGAGCCGGATCCTCCGTTCCTACTTCCTCCTACCGGTATTGGCTATTGATGTTTTTTGGCTCCAGTCTTCACATTCATCTCCCTGGTTTTCCAAAACTTCGACCTTCCTGTCTTCGGGGGTGTAGGCTGCTTAGGGCGTTTAGGGTTTAGGGTTGGGGCCGTTAGGGTTTAGGGTATACCTGTCACGTGAAAACTAGAGTATAGCTGTCATGTGAAAGCTATGCCAGTCTTCTTCTTGATCAGGCTGCACTGGCTACGATGATGACCCTAGCCCTTATTACCGTTGAGACCCGGTGCCTGATCCTTCCACTCAACTGCAGAAACCTAAGTTTTGATCTTCCACCCCGGGCCCGCAAGAATCCCCAATCCTTGGTCGAGGGTTTAGACGGTTTTAAATTGAAAACGACTGAAGCCGTGAACCCCTAGCCCTAGAACCTTTGAAGGCCTGAAGCAACAGGCCTATATGCCTGAAACCTTAGAGCCATAAGTGTCTGACCCTCAACCCCATCCCAACCTCGAGCCTCCCTACAACTTAGAACCCCAAGGACCTAAACCCTAAACCTCGGTGCTTTCTCCGCCTGTTTGCTCCCAGCATGTTGCCAATCAACGCCGCCGCTGCCGAAGAAATGCCCATAGCGGGCATGAAGCTGAGCCCGATGAACCTAATTATTTACAGGGATTCTGTGGGTTTAGGCTTTAGGGTTTAGGCTGATGGATTTCTGGTTTTATGTTGTGAGTTTAGCTAGTTCAGGGCTTCAGGTCTCAGGTAAGGGCATCGTGCCGATGTCGTTGGCGGACTTGTTGGGATTTCGGCTTGTGGTCTGGCTGTGAGAATTGAGGTATGGTGCAACTTGACTCCAACTCGTGCTGGAACGGCTGGAACCCTAACCCTAACACTTCAAAAAAGTCGAGGAACTGGTTCGCAGCCACGTGTGCAGCTAGGGGCACGGTGCCCAGGAAGCCCACCAAGAGGGCATTGATCTCCCAGAACCACCATTCACTGCTCATCTGCAAGACGCAAGGCAGCGCAATCTTGAGATACTTGCCCCATTCTTGAAAGGTTCCCTTGCCGGGAAGAAAGACATCCCGCCGGCTCATGCCTAACTTGGGGGCGATGCGCATAACGTAGAGGCTGATCAGAAACCATTGTGTTGTCCAGGTCATAGCATTTGCGTAGCCAGCCCCTGTGTTGCCGAGGCCTAGCTTTGCCACGAAGAAGGTGCACCAGCCCACATGCAACAGCGACGTGATGATATTGATGATTAGTGGAGGGGTCGTCATGCACTGGTTCTGCAAGAACTTGGCCAAGGCCTGGCATGTAGGGTTGCTAGTTCTACTACGAATTACTTCACTGCCTTACTGCCACAATCATTCGAGTACAAAAACAACAAACCGACTGATCAACAAGGCAAGTGCAGCCGCAATCATCATACGTGCAAAAATGCACGCGTTTACAGTGCTACTACATTATTACAGCATGCAGTGCATTTCGAGCCTACGAGCCCCTGAAACCATCAAACCACAAACCCCCAAACCCCACAGCATTGTGCCTGTGGGCCTAATCCCTGACCCGCAGCCCCAAGCGCCTGATACTGGAAGAGACAGAACAAAGCCGGGGCCGTAGCCCGGTTATAGGCTGCTGCAAGCATCGAGACCTGCATGTGCCGGCTGATTTCCAGAGGGCCAAACAATTGTTGAACCAAGGAATATACCTGAAATTAGGAGGCGTAGTGCTCAGATTCGAGGTATGCTCCTTATTTACGGAATATCGGGTTCTTGGGACATGGTTTGGCATAAAACCACACCAGAACCCCATTTGATTGCATGATTCGGTAGCAACCGAAGTTGACCACACATGCATGCATGCATGCATGCATGCATGCATACATACACTCATACATTCATACACACATACATACATACATTCATTCATTCATTCATTCATTCATGCATTCATTTCGTTTCATTTTATTTCATTCCATTCCGTTCCATTCCATTTCATTTCATCCATCCATCCATCCCTCCATCCATTCATTCATTCATTCATTCATTCATTATTTCATTTCATTTGATTTCATGTCATTTCATTTCATTTCATTGCATTGCATTGTATTGCATTTCATTCATTCGTTCATTCATTCATTCATTCATTCATTCATTCATTCATTCATTCATGCATTCAATCATTCTTTCATTTCATCTCATTTCATTTCATTCCATTCCATTCCATCCCATCCCATTCCATTCATCAATACATCCATCCATCTATGCACTCATTCATTCATTCATTCATTCATTCATTCATTCATTCATTCATTCATTCATTATTTCATTTCATTCCATTGCATTTCACCTCATTTCATTTCGTTCATCAATTCATTCATTCATTCATTCGTTCGTTCATTCATTCGTTCATTCATTCATTCATTCATTCATTCATTCATTCATGCATTCATTCATTTCATTCCATTCATTCCATTCCATCCATCCATCCATTCATTCATTATTTCATTTCATATCATTCCAAATCATTTCATTTCATTTCATTTCATTNNTCATTCATTCATTCATTCATCCATTCCATTCCATTCCATTCCATTCCATTCCATTCCATTCCATTCCATTCCATCATTCATTCATTCATTCATTCATTCGTTCATTGATTCATTCATTCATTCGTTCATTCATAGAATACATACACACGCACACATACACTCGAGGGCCTGCAAGCCCCATCAACCCTGCAGTCACTTTGAGCCATACAAGCGAGTCTTCCTACCTCTGTCCCCTGGCCGAGGGCGAGAAGAAGCCTCTCCGAGGAGAGCAGCGTAGGAATAATCCACCTGAGAAGTGCTTTCTTTGTTTTTTTTAATTATCTTGTTTTTTTGGTATGAAAAGGACTTGGACTCGGGGCTTCGGGCTTGGGGCTTATAAGGCTTCGGGCCCGGGCTGCCGGGGTGTTTATCTCGAGGTTCTAGGGGACTTCGGTGTTGGGCTTTAGGTTTCTTAGGCTTGGGGAAGAATTCAGCACGGACATCTGCCCGCTCGTTTTTTCTATTCATCGCACCTCGCGCCTATGGGTTGGCAAAACAATATGCAGCTCGGGGCAATGTCCGGTCGTGGACTCCTGCTGTCGAAGAGGAACTGCACATCTGCTCGTGTCCTACTCTTTTCGAACTCCACAGAAACCGAAGCATGCTATCTTTGAGGACCCTGGTTCACCGACGGACAGCACATGCCATGTGATGCCTGATACCAGAGACCCAACACACTCATATCTTCGTTCAAGGTGATGTAGCTTGAGGTTCGTAATCTAAAAACTGAAACAAGCACCAACACAGGTTGGCGACACGAGTTGCAGCGTGGCGATGAAGCGACCACGCTGGAAGTGGGCGCAGGCCACCTCCTGATTGAATCATGGGATTCAGACTTCGGCATAAAGGGCTTAGGATTTCGAGTTCTTTTATTTTAACTCGGCTGATCTCGGCTGTAAAAGATAGGATGTGAGGCTTAGGATTTGTGTTTTCTGCTAGTTAAGGGGGCTTAGGGGCCTTAAGAATTGGAACATGGTTTCGCGGCATGTTGTACAAAGAGTCATACAGAGATAAGTTATCACCCCAACCTCTCTAAACACCCTACAAACCCTCTTACTTAGAGTCCCGGTACCCTAACCTCTCTAAAAGCCCCTACGAACCCTCTTACTAAGAGTCCCGGCAGTAAAAACGCCTGCAAACCCTCTTGCTTAGAGTCCCGGTATTAAAAACCCCTGCAAAGCCTCTTACTGAGAGTCCCGGTATTAACAACCCCTACAAACCCTCTTGCTTAGAGTCCCGGTATTAACAACCCCTACAAACCCTCTTACTTAGAGTCCCGGTACCCTAACCTCTCTAAAAGCCCCTACGAACCCTCTTACTAAGAGTCCCGGTAGTAAAAACCATTACACACCCTCTTACTTAGAGTCCCGGTATTAAAAACCCCTGCAAAGCCTCTTACTGAGAGTCCCGGTATTAAAAACCCCTGCAAAGCCTCTTACTGAGAGTCCCGGTATTAACAACCCCTACAAACCCTCTTACTTAGAGTCCCGGTATTAAAACCCCCTACAAACCCTCTTACTTAGAGTCCCGGTATTAAAATCCCCTACAAAGCCTATCACTTAGAGTCCCGGTAAGGATTGAGGGTGCACCAACCTCAAAGCAGCGGCTAGAGTCTCTTGGATCTTAACAAACCTTGCAGTCTACGTGGGCTTTAGACTCTTAGAAGGCGTAGGTAGAAAAAACAGAAAATGGGAGTATAGGGCTTATAAGGTCTGTTGCGTAGGGTTTGAGGTGTGGTATGTTTAGGGTAGTATAGCTGCCAAAGCTCCAAAGTTGCTCCGCAGTTCTAAACTCTGAGCCCGTTACGGGCCTCTAAGTTTTGCCACGAAGATCTCTAATCCTTAGATCCACACCGATCTGTACGACTTAAAGTCCCCTCCCCCAGCAGCAACCCTTAGAGCGCCTGGTTGCCAGCGCCATAGGCCTGGCTCACTAGCGAGTCCTGAGTTCAGGGCAGGGGCAGGGTTGAGGAAGTTTAGGGCTTCGCTTAGGGTTTTAGGGTTTGGGGTCTGGGGTTATAGGATTTAGGAGTAGACTGTAAAGGATTCGGTACCTCGGTGAGGGATGAATTGAGCTTGCATTCTCTATGCTTTATACTGAGGGCATGAAGATCACGGCGCTTCCCAACTTTCTATCCTCTACATAAACGCTTTACGATCTGACCTAGGCCAATACGACGGCAGTTTGGCGCTATGGATTTCCAAACAAAAACATATTCCTGCACCGGAAGATTTAAATGAGTCAGAAGCGATTCATGGCTCCCTAAACCCTAAAATGCACACAGCCCGAAAGAGCATCGGCTTCATCAACTGCGCTGGCTGTCCGAGCCATGCAATGCAGACTTGAACAAGGTCCGGATCTGCATCTGCAAATTGGCAGGGCAGTACAGCGTCGCTGTAAGTGTAATGTATGGACGTGAATCGTATGTGCAGTATGACCAACTATCCAGGCCATATTGCAGCAAGGTCCTGAAGCTTAAAACCTGCAAGCCTGAATCCTGAAGCCTGACCCTATTTCCTGCTTAAAGGATCATGGGATCATGGGACTTAGCAGCCAGGGCTACAAAGCAAGATCAGTTGCTTTTGACGCCGATTAAGCGACTTGCTGCGCCCATGATCCCCCAATTAAAGGCTTTAAACCCCTAAACCCCAGACCTTGACCCTTGAACCCTAAGCCCCCTAATCCTATATAATTCAAGGAGGCGAGAGCAGCCGAGAAGCCAGTGCTGCGAGGATGCCCCAGCCGATGCTGAGCCCCAAACCTTTTGGGCTTCGTTTCGGGTTTAGGGTTTAGGGATTATAATAAGGTTTAGGGGTTCTTTGAGGAAAATCTTTCGGCGTTTAGGGTTGAGGCTTTGGGGCTTCAGGGCGTTCAGACTTGGGGTTTCATGATCGAAGGGTACCTTGCTCAGGAGCGTCGTCCTAAGTAGCTATGACGAGGGTGCGGCTCTTTAGAGACGGTTCGCCTGACTTTCTGAAACTCTCACATCTCCCATATCCCAGGCGCTTTTTTGGGCAATTTAGGTGCTCAGGTTGTCGGTTTTCCAGGTTTAGGACTGGGCTTTGAGATTTGGGCCGTTTGAGGGTACAGGGTCTAGGATTTGGGTGCGCGTTCGGATGAAGGTCCAAGTGCTTGAGGCTGCGGTGTGCACACGAAGGTGCCTGCTACTACGAAGGTGTCAGCCAAAAGGGCGCAACCAAGCAAGAACTCCCCACACCCTCAACCCTAAAAGCCTATAAATCCTGGCCCCTAAAACCGTAAACCCTAAACGCCTAAATGCTTAAACTCAAAGCTCTAAGACACTAAACCCCTAAACCCTAAATCGCAATATAATATTAATCGCAGTCATGGTCATGGCCCAGGGGCAGTTCTGCATCATGTTGCCCAAGCCCACTGCAGCAAGGGAGGCCGAGCTGCTGGTCCTTCCGAGCCTGCTTCGAATGGTTGCTCTTTAGGGTTCAGGGGTTTACGGGTTTGGGGGGTTTAGGGGGTTTATAGGGTTTAGGGGTTTTGGGGTTTAGTGGTTTAGGGTTTTAGGGTCACAACAGGGTTGCTAAAGTTACCACAAAGGGCTGCTGCGAGGTCTGTTTCGGGGATTCATGTCTCTGTAGTTGAGGCCACCGACGATAGGGTTTTGTGCACGCTGTCGGCATCGCTGGAAAATCCAACTCTTCAGGGAGTTTGCCGGATTGTGTCAGCCAGAGTCATGACCTCTTCTACGGTACTGCTTCACACCCAGAAGCCAGATGCTGACATGCCAGAACTGAGAGCGTGGCAAGATGGCGTTGATCTGCTCGTTGGCCCTCAGGCACAGACACAGATGTTAAGCTTGCTTTCTCTCAGTTCATCTTGATGTGACAGATTATGCATCCTATCCACCAGAATTTCTAAATCTTACACACTCCACTAAACTCTCAAACCTCCGAACCCGAAAATTTCCGAACCCGAAGAAGCCTTCTCCCGGATACCCGTTGAGTGCCTTTCTAAAACTTTCCCGAGACCCCAATCCTGGAACCAAGCCCGCCAAACACCCAGAATCCTCAACCCTTATACATCCCATCCGAAAA